AAAAAAAAACGTTTTTTTTCCCTATTTTCTTCGATTTCACCCTTACCCCCCCAACCAAAAATTAGATTTTTTTCGTTTTTTTTTGCCTGATGGGGTGGGGCTGGGGTTGCCCCGCCACGTGGCGCTTCCCGTTTCCCAAACCCCCTTCCCCAGTGGCCGCCACGCGTCCGCGAAGACGCGCGTTCGCGCAGACGCATCCGCGGGGTCGCGGACTCGGCCGCGGCCGCGGACTTGGCCGCGCCTATCCGCCGCCGAGGGGGATTCATAGCTTCCATTAGGCGGAACCTGCAGACAGGAGTGAGGAGGACGAGATTCCGGACGACGAGGTGGAGTTGCTGCTCATCCAGGGTTGGAGAACGGACACGGAGGGAGATTTTTGGGGGATCTTATTCAGAGAAGTGCGCGACGGCCATCTGGACTTCATTACGGCCGAGCTGCTGGTACTTCTAACCCAAGTGTTGGACAATCTGTCGTTGGAGATCCTCTTGCGTTGCGACGAGAAGCCGAGAACAGCCACGCTCGCTCGTACCCTGGAGCCGCATCTTCTTTGGTCCACGTGTACGAAATTGGAGGAGGGGGTAGCTACTACTTACCCTCGAAGGGTGCATACCTGACCGTCGACATCACTGATCTTTCCATGTGCGACCCACTCATCCGATGCGTTCCTGTAGGAGGAACAAGTGAGGAGGAAGGGGGCGAGGAAGAAGAAGCCGCAGAGGAAGAAGATCGGGAAGACGATCCCGATTACCGCGGGTCGGAAGAATCGGGATCGGAAGGATCCGAGTCGGAAGAGGAAGGCGGATCGGACGAATCCAGCGACCCGGCAGAGCTAACCAGAGAGGAGGAGGAGTACATGGCACGAAGGAAACAAGAAAAAGCGAAAGGCAAACACCTGATCAAAGAATTGCAGGAGCCGCCGCCACAACTATTGCAGGGCGATCCGGCGCTGTCGAGCACATCGGTCCGGCACTACTCAGGGGTAGCGCGGGACCCTCCCGGCCTCGTCACGCAGGAGTTGGATATTGATCCTCGTCGCGATACATACATGGAGCTTCCGCAAGCTGCTCCGGCCGAGTGCGCCAGCCATACCTCTCGCGAGCCCCTACGACAGGATAGATCCTACGCGAGGCACGACTTGCCTCCACCTTGCAAAGACTAGGGCAGATACCCTTGTCAAGGTATTCGCACCGACAACGCGTAATCCAGAACCGGGAAGAAGACGAGAGGGATGGAGGTGTCGCTGCAGAGGAATCAAGAAGCCGACGCCGCCGACGAAGTGAATCCTCCACAGTTTCACCCGCAGCCCTTCATCTACGTCGAGACGCGGGCGCTCGGGCTTCATCCCCGGTCGTTATCCCGTCCTCCCCATGACTTCCTCACCCTCTGACCGCTCCTAGGCCGACCCCCGTTCCCTGATAGGTGTCAGCCGTTTCCACTCTCCCTCTTCTATCATCGTTACGCCACCCGCCTTCTGGTTACCATTTTCCCGCATACTACTACTCGCTCGCTCGTCACTTCTTTCCCCCTCCACGTCCTTCTCTTTAGCGTGGATTGGCAGGAGTATAATAATATAGAGGTCTATTGCATCATCGCGGGCAAAATCCCCACGTGCGAGGAATACGACGATTTCCACGCTGCCATCCGCCGCACCCTCCGCACCCTCTACCCTGACTACCTCGCCTCTCTCCCCCATCAATGTCGACACCCTCGCTTTCCCCGCATCCACCGCTTTGTCTATGACGTCCCACTTCCCTCTAGCGATAGGAAAATTTACCGCTTCATGCCTCCTCTTCCGCAAGTCTATCCACCACCTCCCCCACCCGTAATTAGATTACTCCCGGGCAACGTTTTGGATTGAGCACACGTATGCCACATTGGATGACTTCCACACTCAGATCCTACGGTAAGTAGCACGTGTAGGCTCCGCGTCGATCATCAGACAACCGATCGGCGTCTGATGAGAGAGCAAGCACGAGCTTGCTCAAGATTGGAACCCCCTCGGCGTCACATATGTGACGAACTATTTTCTGTGTCATGCGACTTTCTGCACGATGATGGCGGGGGGTATTAAGACGGGATCGGATGTGCAGGGCAAGGAAGGCGGGATCGACGGGGCAAATTGCATGAGTGTCCTCACTTTTTTTTTTTTTTTTTTTCCCTTGGGTGATGACGTGCCAGGGTCGGGCAGGTCCTAGGGCGGACGGTTGAGCGGGCGCACCACGTCAAGAGCAATTAATAAAGATGGCCATAGGTTCTTTCTTGTTCTGCTGGGGCGAAGGAGAATGGGAATTTTGGCGCGATGAACGCGTGGGAGCATCGTTTTCTTTCTTTTAAAATTTTCTTTCAACTGACGACGAGCCCCCGTGGGCTCTTGGAATTGTTGTTTTCCTTTTCGCTTTTCGGAATTAAATTTTTTGTTTCTTCATAATTTTCCTTTTTCTGCCATCTCGGATTTAGATAGGAATTTAGGAATTTTGACGTTTTGGGCACGATGCGCTTCTTGCTTGCGCGCACTTCCTGCGGCGGGAACAGAGTTCTGACTAAATGGCGCCCTTAATCTTGCGTGTAACTGTTTTTTTTTTAAGGGCGTCATTGTAATTGTATCTTTCATCTTGGTCCTCTCGCCTTTTTCCCGCCCCTCCTCTTTCTGCTACTATGCATACCCCTTCCAACTGACATTTTTTTCTAAATTCACGAAAGTGGACTTAGTCAAAATTTTGTTGTCCATCGGGTGAGAAAGTGGTTATCTCACTTTGTCCATCTGATGTACCTCAACGTAAAGTACCATTAACATACATCCAATGGTCAGATCATCGGGAGTCGCCACAACACCCGATTATCGGATCATCTGACATCATGGGGACAAAAAAACACTAAAAACTGTTGCTTTTTTGTACGCTCAATTTCGTGAATTTAGAAAAAAATGTCAGTTTTAACGAAATGTCAGTTTTCCCCCGATCTGATTGGCCAAGACGTTGCATGCTTAGATCGATGTGTGGAGAGGGGCTACCTCCCCGACGCCGCGGCCTGACCATGCAAAACGTAGACACTTCCTTTCTCTTTTCTCCCTCCCGCAAAACACAATCCCGCACCCTTTGCGCCGACATGCACGCTATAAATTTCGCTAGCACGATTAGATCGCTCTCTAAAAAAATTTGGGAAGTTCCGAGGTTAGCGCGATCAGTGAGGGCCGGCTAACGAGTAAGCCAAGGGGTGAGTTGATGTGGGAGTTGGGCGACCCGACGAGCTGGTGCCAAGTACGTGGGACTGACGTGAGGGCCACGACAGACTGTGGCGCACAATCAAATCTGGCTTGCGTATGCGGACCAAGCGGGGTGACAACTTCGTGATTGATGCGAGACGACGGACTATCCTCATCGGAGAAGGAGAGAGAGAGAGAGAGAGTCTGGGGAACAGGCGGGTGTGGAGTTGCAACCTTTCCTTTTCTGCCTCGTGTATAAAGTTTTGGGTTCAGGCTAAGGTTGCAGCGAAACGCCATCGTTTTTCACTTCTGAGCTATTTTTTTTTCCCTCCTTCTTGCGTCCTTGTGTCCTAATCTAGTATCCTCCCTTCTCCTCCTTGATGCCTGTTGGTGAGGTGGATTGAATCTCTTGGGTTGATTGGATGTTTATGCTCATCGGCACCAATTTTATGCATGAGTGAATGGATGTATATGAAGATTCGACGGACGTATGTTACACGATCCCACGGAAAGTCCAAATCACTGAATGATTGCGTTGTGAGACCGGAGGAAGTTGTGGGATTGTCATATGATTGATTTTGTCAAAGGATATGGATGGCTGATTTGGGGATTGCTTTTTATGCGTAACCTGAATTTTTTCTTTAGAATAGACGATTGAACGATGGACCTTGGGAAGACCACGGTGTCACCAGAACGGACCTTTCCAGGCGACCTCGTGTGGCCACGTGTAAGTGCGATCGCACGAACGCGGCTTACACGCGTGTACACGAAGCTCGACCGTGGAAACCTGTGATAGAATCAACCATTCTCTGCCGATATCATGATGGACGTTGAAATTCCCTTTTACGTTACAGATCGTGGGAGTCTGAGGTATCGGCGATTCCCGGAGCATTGGGAACGGGAGCGCGCCTATCAGGCAACGCGACCTCGGGCCCCGTGTCTGGAATTTCCTTACCTCATTGGAACGGAGCGAGTATGCGAGTGGGACATCGAACGGGCCATAAGCGCGATCCCCTCCTTGCCGCAATTTCCTCACTCGCACACACGCCATGTCATCGCTGAATCCGGAATAGCCATCGTCGAGACTAATTACCCTCCCTACCGCCTCGTAATCCCCTCTCACTGCCTTACGGCGATCCCCTGGAGCGCAATCGGCCCCTACTGGCCCCGGATCCTGTGCTTAGAGTGCCAGCAAGACCACGCTTACCGCACGGCTGGATTCGTCCGACGAACCAGGATTGAAGCAGACCAGCGATGACACGGCCTCTGACTGAGACCAGCCTCGTCTGATTCCGAGGTCTGTCGCGAGCGGCACCAGCGGCTAATCGCCCAGCGCGCTACACAGCGTCCCGACGGTCCATCGGATACAGGACCGACCACGACGGCGACCCTCGCACAGGAGATAGCCCGGTCTCCCGGGGTCCAACAAAATTCAGGGTTACCATCTTGCTCAACTGCCCCTAAGCTTGTCATAGGAGATCTCATTTCCGACCTGGGACTCGATCACAAATTCCGAAAATCCTTGGCACACCCCTTTTCGCACTTCTAGGCCCCTATCCCACTCCGATCAGGAAGTCGCGCTGGGCGTGAGGTTGGGCGTCAAATTGCAGTTTCATACACAGACAATTAGGGAAACGCAGGCCGAACAACAAAGATATACCACGACCTTCCTGACCTTTCCAAAAATGCAGGCCCAGTGGCGATGGTCTGTAGGAGCGTCAACTTCAAGTACTTTGTGAGTTGTTGACGGGAACAGTTGCATTGTCAATTACTAGGCGGACAATAGTGGTGTAAGAAGTAGGATGGGTGTCGAGCGCCAAGTAGGGAGATAGGGTCTGGACACTCATGTTGGTGGTGGCGAGAGCAAACTCTCATTGACATTGGTTTTCAGTGATACGATTCTTCATTGATGTTATATTAGTGCATTTCTGCTTTCTGGACACTATGATATTGTCTGACCTTCAGTGTGATTGCGCATTCTTGTTATTGTCATCTCAGTATTGCTCATTTTTCTTGCAGGTTTTTTTTTTTTTTTTTTTTTTTTTTGCCTAGGGTCACGTGTTTCGGACCCCGCACATCAATTACGTTTTTCCGAAAAGCGCGGGAGCGGCCCATTTTCGTGTTTATCGGGAATTCAACGAAATTTTTTGAAATTCAAGGATTCATTGGGAGTTTAATTCCCCTGTTCCCCGTTAAAAAGACACATAGATCCTTCTTCTTCTACGAGAGAGAGAGGGGGGGCGAAGGGGGGGGGAGGAGACAGAGACAGAGACAAAGAGACGAGATAAAAACAAAGAGAAAAACAGAAGAGAAGGGAGAAAGAGACAAGAGAGGAGGAAACTGCAACCATGTCACTCACACCGCCACCATAACCCCCAACTTCCAAACCCCAACCCCTGAAATACACCTCCTCAAAAAATTGAATGAAACTTCTTTGTCCAAAGTTTCCTTTGCGGATTTAGGGAGATCTCGGTGAGCGCAAGTCAAACGCGTTTAAAAAAAAAAAAAAAAAAAAAAAAAAAAAAAAAAAAAAAAAAAAAAAAAAAAAACGTTTTCAGCCCAACTGGAATTCCGGTTGGACCACCTGGGGTCAAACCGGCCCGGTTGGATCTAGCCCGGTCCGATCGGCCGGTTGTCGGCACAACCCTGGATTCTTCTAGATTTGTATACTCAAACTGCAGATTTATATCTCAGACTGCTGCAGGAAGGGATTGAACAATGAAGTCCTGCCAATTCGCCAAAGTAGGACATAATGAGCTTGGGGACACAGATCTCGATTGCGAGTTTGTCCCAATCAAGGAGCGGAGCAAAGGTTTGAGGATGCAGAGGTGCATTTCGACCAGGGAATTGCCAAGTTCTTAGGGAAAATGTTTTTTGTGATAGAGTCTTCGTTGGCGCAGACACAACATCAAACGTGTTGTTAGACAGTCCTGAGTTGGTGGTTGGGAGTGTGGAATGTTAGGATTGAGAGGACAGGGTGACAGTGGCTGTTTGTTGGAGTTTTCTCTGCGATTGGACGATGACATCCACATCAAGCGCAACAATTTCATCATCTGAGATTGTGTGAATTATTCAATACCAGTTGGGGTTATGATCTATTCTGGAAGGACGTGTTAGTCATAGTGAAAATAACCGTGAAAAAAGAAGAAGACGATCGTGTTAGAAGGAGAAGAAGAAAAAGAGCGACCATTTCGTCAACATGGACATCTTTTATTTTTTGAACGAAACTGAAACCGAGTATTTTGGCCGAAAACTTGTCAAAATTTGTTGTTCCTGAGGGTCCGGCGTTTGTTTTATTTTTTGAACGAAATTGAAACCGAGGATTTTGGCTGAAAACTTGTCAAAATTTGTTGTTCCTGCGGGTCCGGCGAAAACTTGTCAAAATTTGTTGTTGACAAGTTTTCGGCTAAAATACTCGGTTTCAATTTCATTCAAAAAATAAAAGATGTCCATTTTGACGAAATGGCAGTTAAAGGAGGAGGAGGAGGAGGCGGGAG